AATAAAATTCATGATAAAATTAAGGAACTAGAATATATGTTGAAGGGATACCTGAATTGATAAGGTTTTTATTTAAAGTTAATTTGATTATGGTATTGTAAATTTATAAAGCTTTAAAACAGATTCAGTTGGAATAAATTTAAACTACAACTGGATATTTTAAATATACTATGCTATTTGAGGGAAAAAGAGAGGGAATACCTGATGTATTGATTGTACTATGTATATATGTTTTGTTCTAGGTTGTTTGATTACCCCAGCACAACGGTGTATCCTGAGTACTTTGTTTTAATAATTAAAAAAAAACAATAAAATGTGTTTCAATAATAATAATAATGATACATAGTAAAATACCTCTACACATTTTCTTCTATTGCTAAGTTTTATAATCTTCATTAATCAGTTTTTGTTTACAATATTGCATAATAAGCAAACATTTCATCTATCTGATGGGATTCCTTATTATTAAGCAAATTCAAATTATGCATTTTGACATTTATCCTTCAGTTGCTTAATAATCCTAATTATTCACATATTTTTCCCAACTTAGTATTATAGTAAAACTGATATCAAATAATACATTTTAAAATATTTTAATGATGTTTCAAAAGCAGATTATTTTAAATGCTGTATACAGATTTTACTCTTACTTCCATCAAGGTATTATTGCTTTCTATCAACATATTGAGATTTTATTTTAAACATTTTAACATAATTTTGAAGAATAGACCATTTCAAATCTTATGCATAAGTTTCCACCATTTGAACTCAAACTATTACTGCTTTCCATCTAACATCTTGATATTGTGTAATATATTTTATTTACTTTGGAATTCTTAATGACAAGCTGAGAATTTCTGCAAAGTTTCAAATTACTATTACTTATATTACGAGAAGAAAATGTCAATTTATATGAAATGAATAAACATGTTTGATGTATCTATTGAACTTTTGAAATAAATCATTTTGACAATGATTTTTAACTATATTCTGACAACAAATTGATAATAGTGATCTGTACTGAAAACTCATTTTTCCTTCATTTGTTTCCTGTACTTTTTTTCATAATTTTTGGTCCAGAATTATTGAAAGAATTAGAACATGCAACCAATGTTCTGCAGGAGAATTCCTTCTGATGGAGTTATCTGATGATCATTATATTCAATGTTTGCATTTTGTCATTTTTCTTTCATTTACTTTTAGCCTTAACTGGGAATTTATTTATAATTTTTGTTGTAGTCCTGAATCACCACCTGCACATGTCTATGCATTTCTTTCTGGCTAACTTCTCCCTAAGTGATATTTGTTTAATCACAACCACAGTCCCCAAATCCATGACAATTTCACTGACAGATAAAATAATAATTACCATTCCTGGGTGTGTAGCTCAATTTTTTTAATTGTTATTTTTACATGTTCTGAGGTTTCCTTGCTAAATATTATGGCTTATGACCAATACATAGCTATTTGCCATGCGGTCAAATGGCAATTACCTTCTGGGTCAGCTCCCTGCTACAGTATGTGCATCTCTACAAACAGTCATCACTTTCCAATGGGCAATTTTTCTGTGACATTCCTCAGTTACAAAAGATTTCTTACACAGACACAAATACAAATACAGATACAAAAGTAAACCAGATTGTGATCTGGATATTTGGATTCATTGTGTCTTCATTTTGTTCTGAATTGGTTTTTGCTTCTTATGTCTACATTATTTCTGCTGTGCTGAAGATTGAATCAACTGAAGGCAGATGCAAAGCATTTTCAACTTGTGTTCCACACCTGACAGTTTTTTCTTTATTCATGGCTACATGTTTATTTTCATACATGAGGCCAAAATCTCTTTCTTTTCCCATTATAGACTTGCTGTCTGCTGTTTCATATATAGTTGTGCCTCCTCTTATGCATCCCATCATTTATAGCCTCCAGAACAAGAATATTCAAGCAGCTGTGTGGAAATTAACACTGAAACAAACAAACAAATTCTAATCTAATTTGAATGTATTCAGTCTGAGAAATATAACATGTCCTTTGGAAAGGATGAGGGATCCATGTCTCTTCTTCTCTTATATTATACTTTAACATAGAAATGAGCCTCCCTACACTATGTTGCAAAGTATTTGCATGCAATGGAGGGGAGATGAGAATTATATAGGACATAATTCTACACTAGTAATTGGCAATACAAACACTAGTTTGGATCTTTTGCTCCTAATTGTTTATTATTCTTACACTAATATATTATTTATTATTTGCATCATTTTCCTCAGTAAACAAATGAACAAATATAATGTTTTTTGAATAATTCAATTTCTCGGTTTTCTTTTTATCTATGATTTGTGTGGATAATGGATCATGCTTTAGTTCCTATTTATGCAAAAGTATTAAAAATTCAAAAAGGTTCACAAACAAAATGGCTTCATTTTTTTCTTCTTATGGCCACATCATCTCTGCTGTGCTGAAGATTCCGTCAATTAAAGGCAAATGCAAAGTCTTCTCAATTTGCAGTCCACACTTGATAATTGTTTCTTTATTCATCTCTACAGATTTGTTTTTTAACCATGAGGCCAACATTTCTTTCCTTTCCCATTGTAGACTTATTTTCTGCTGTTTCATGTTCAGTTTTACTTCCCTTTCTGAATCCCATCATTTACAGCTTTTGAAACAAACACATTCAAGCAGCCCTGTGGAAATTAACATCAGAAAACAAAAATAATTTCCTAACTTGATTAGATTGTCTTTAGTTTGACAAATATAATATTCTGTTAGTAGAATGTTGTTGTGAAAAAAGTTCTTCAAATAGATTTTATATCATTCTATCAAACATCAATGAAGTCTTGCACTTTGCTATTACTTCTAATAAATTTATTTTTAATCTCACCTATATCCAAAGGAGCAACTAGTTACTCATCATTTAAAATTTAATATTAAATGAAATAAAGAGCCATTTCTAAAATTTTGTTTTGACCATAGTATAAAGATATTTTGAGCTGTTCCAAATAAACAAATGTTTGGATTTATTAATAGGCTGCATCTAAAATATAGTAGTCATGATGCACTATGAAGGTACTAATAATCACACCAGCATTGAAACTGAAATTAGATGGATTTGTATGAATTAGGGAATTTAGAGAAAAACAACATATAACCTGATAAAATAATACTGTGCTGTAGAAGAAAAACTTCCATGACCTTTTGATGAATGGCGACTACACAAGATGCTTAAAGAAAATTTAATACTGCCCTTAATCCAGTATTCTGTTCAATCCAGATGAGCTCCCAATAGAAGGGGGAAAATTCCCTAGAACCCAGTTGACAAATGGAGACCACATGATCTGCTTGAGCCAAGTTTATTGAATTACATGGAAAATATAATACAATGCCCTACCCACTGAAAGGGTGACAAGACAGAGTTATATACAGTCTTGTTTATGGGAAAATGAACAATAGGTTCCAAATCCACACCCATAACGATCTTGCAGTTTTAGTTTTGATTTGTTCAATCAGGAAGTCTTGACTGAACTTACTTGAGCATCTCTTGTGGTTCTCAGTGGGCCAGATTCCACTTTTTCAATACACAGGGCTGACTTTGCACTTTTAGCCCCTTAGTAAGGTATTTGAGCACTGAAGGTTGTCTCAAGCCATTTTTAATTAGACAAAATTGATTTATAAATTTTGTCCCCATTCTGATCTGGTAAATTGTTCAGCTTTAAAATGTGGTAAGAGCAAATGAGGTCCCTATCGGAAAATGGATTTGGATCAGAAATCCTTATGGGTGGGAGAATTGGTGTAGTATTCTTTCTCAGGTTGTGAAGATGACCAGTGCATCTTCAAAAACTTCATCTACCTGTTCCAAGTAGCTGTAATGTTTATGAGAATTGGCATGGAAAACATCAAGGGGAAGCAAGAAAAGCATTTTACTTTGTCAGTAATAGTGAAGGCATGAAGAATGAAGTATACTTCATCAAGGTATTATGATATATTTCACAATGATGTTTCAAAACTTCTAAAATAAGTGTGTTTCATCATTCTCCGTCTTTTTCTGTACACTTATGTAACAATCTTAACTATTGTTACACGTTTTAATGACAAAACCTGTACTTTTCAAAGATATCAGTTAGTGAACAAACTTCCTTATTGGCTCTAAGAGAAAAAATAAATGTACAAAAATATCCAATTGATGGCAATTTAACACTCAATGCATCGATTCACTTCCGTACATATTCACAGGAGAGGGGGAGGATAAGATTTTTTGATAAACAGACAAATAATATGTAAGCAAGCAAGTAAACATGTTATCTGGGATTTGGGCTAGGAGATATTTCAAAACATGAAACCTGTGTTGTGGACCAAATTATCTTTCTCAAAATCTCTGATATTTCTAGATAATTTTGAAAGATAATAACAAAATTATTCTAATGGATTTTAAACAATCTGTTCCTGAGAGAGCACAATATTCATCAGGCAATTTCAAATGGTTGTTAGTACTTTTTGGGACTGAGATTTGGGTATGGAATTCAAAAGAGATTGTTAAGTTAGAGAAATAGGATAGCTGGAATAGCTTTCTCAGGAACATTCAATATCTGCCCAGATTGTCCCTGTTGCATTTTTAATCTTTGTCAGATTTTACTTGAAATTCTAAAAGTAATTGAAGAAACTTGTTACATTTTATCATTAACTTTAGTATGGGAAATTTTGTGATTTGGTGTTCTGCAGCAATATTTTATTTTCATTGGAGAAGCTTTGGGACAGAGAAAAAAATTCATGATTGGATCTTTCAGCAGAATGCCAGGGAAGATACTTGTTTAATTCATCTTTTTTTTTCTTGGAGTATGATGAGTGATAGTAGATGATAATCATTTATTTATTTATTTTGCAATTTACTCATTCATTTCAGCATGAGAATTATGATCAGTCTCTAGAGAATGATCCCTTAAAACAGAACAGAAAACAAGGATGATATAATTATTATTTTTTCTTTCAATTCTTCTTATCGGAGAGTTAGAACCTATAAAATGGTGGAAAAACACAGGTGTATTTGTATTGTCATCTTTCAATCATATTTCAAGACAATAACAGATGTATTGGTAAGTAGAATACTTAACAGAGCTATGAATTATTGCTTATAAGAAGACCATAATGTATAATTGCAGGAAAATCTATTTTTGGACTGAACATGACTTTTAGCTAGGGTGATATATACAGGATCTTGCTACTTTTCATAGAACTAGAGATCAACTTTATGACCTGAGATATGATCTAAGTAAAAAAGTTCTTTATCTGTGTTAAAAATATATATGATCAAAGTCATATGTGTTTGTTCTTAAGCATTGCCCTTACTTATATCTAAGAAGAATAAATTAAGATAAATATGATCAAGAAAAATATATCAGCTATATCACCATACTGTCATAATGCAGAAAAGAACCCTTTGAAAGTAGTTTAAAGTACTTTTGTTTTTAGTTTTTACATAGTTTTGTGTTTTTTTAAAAGATTAAGTGATCTGATTGCAGTATCAATATTTATTTAATTTGACACATCTTACATGAATATCTTAAGACATTTACTTCTTTATCCTGCAGTTGGACACCCATTTACATAACTATGAGCTTCAGTGAATTCAGGGACTTATGTCAACTACAAATGTGTGAAATCTAGGAGGATTATTGTGTATGCTTGTGAGTGTGAGAGATGGGTGGAGGCAGACAGATACAGAAACAGAGGCAGTAAAAGACACAGGCAGAGGCAGAATGGCTTGTCTTCAGAATTTGTCAGTGCTTCATCTCTGGAAGTCTTTAAGAAGAGACTGAGCAGCCACCTGTCTGAGATGGTATAAGGTCTACTGCTTGAGTCAGGGGTTGGACTCCAGCTCTATTGTAACTTCTTTCCTCTTTCCTGCTCCCCACATGTAGCTATAAATGTTTTCCGTTGAATTATAGTTGCTTAAATAAACATTTAATTCCTCAGTTATTTTAAGGAAAGTGAAAATACTAAAAGACAAGTATTGCTCCCTTAAACACATATGTACAAATTTTATATTTAGTTTGCAATATTATTAATTTATGTGGAGGGAAGTGTTGAGAAAGAGACAAAAAGAGAAATATATGTACATTTTAAAGTATATATTTAATACAGTTTTCATTAACATAAAAAAATATTTTTACAAACCAGCTGTAGCACATCAACATTTTTGATCACTTCTATGTTCTCTTTCTATTAAATGCCACTTTTGTCAATATAACCCACTCTGAAAGAGAGGGATTGATAAACTTGTTGTATATAAAATATAAAAAGGCAATAATAATAATAATTGTATATATGTTCTTAAAAATATAGTCGCTTTTGCATTTTAAGAATATATTTATTCAACAGGTTGCATATATTACTATTACTAAATCTGTACCTCATTTCTTCTATTAATTTCCTATGATATTCTCTTTCTGTCCAGAAGGAGTCAGAGAAAAGAAATGGGCAATCAATCCACTGTGACAGAATTCCTTCTGATGCGATTTTCTGATGATCATGATATGCAAATTCTGTATTTTACAATGCTCCTTGTCATTTACTTATTAGCCTTAATTGGAAATTTCCTTCTTAGTGTTGCTGTGATCCTAAACCAGAACCTTCATGCTCCCATGTATTTCTTTTTGGTAAATTTGTCATTCTCTGATGTTTGCTTCATCTCAACCACGATCCCTAAAGCCATGGCTACTTCTTTGACAAATAACAGGGAGATCTCCTATGTTGGATGTGCTGCTCAGGTCTTCTCAGTTATTACTTTTGCAGGTACTGAGCTTGCCCTGCTGACTGTCATGGCTTATGACCGTTATGTGGCCATCTGTCACCCTCTGCAATATACACTAATGATGAATTGGGATGCCTGTTTACAAATGGCAGCTGCTTCCTGGATAAGTACCTTGATTGATGCTTTCCTGCACACCACTCTCACTTTCAGATTAAATTTCTGCAAATCCAATATAATTGAGCAGTTTTTTTGTGATATTCCTCATCTACAACATATTTCTTGTACTGATACAAGAATTAATCAGATTGTAATTTTCATTCTAGCACTTATTATAGACACATTTTGTAGTGAGGTCATTTTTATTTCCTATGGCTACATCTTCTCTGTTGTTCTAAAAGTCCCTTCAGTTCAAGGCAGATATAAAGCTTTCTCGACATGTATTCCCCATATGACTGTCTTCTCTTTATTTTTTATCTCTGCTCTGTTTTCATATATGAGGCCCCAAAGTGTTTCCTCCCACACTTTGGACTTGCTCTCAGCTGTTCTCTACACAGTTTTGCCCCCACTCCTCAATCCCCTCATTTATAGCTTCAGGAACAAGGACATCCAAAAGGCCATGTGGAAAATGCTTAAGAAATAAAAGCAGAAAAAAACAGATCTGGATAATTGCATTCATTGTTCAAAATCTCTTTTCACAGAATATTATGCTCTGCTACTTATCTGGGTTAGGTAAGTAACAGTTTAAACAATATCGGTTTATATCATGTGATTGATTCTTGTATTGTGGAGAATTAAAAAATATTAAATTTGAAAATTGTAAGTGACAGAAATCCTGATCTAACTTTAACTGAGATGCTTATTTTGTCCTATGACAACTATCTCTTCTTTTTTCCCCAGATTGTAAGCGTTTAATTTTTCAGAACTCAGTCATTGGTTATTAAAAAAAAAAAACCTAAAACAAGTTGTTATTCTTTTTTTTTCTAGGAGCTAAAAGTCCTACCCAAAGTAAATTTCAAACATTTATACAATCATAAAAAATCCAGCTGAATCCATTCAGCAATCTTTGAAAGCTTTCAGTCATCACCATGATAACACTGACTTTGCTCCACTGCTCTTTTGCTCATATTTTTCCTTTGGAAAAAATTGTAACAGAATAAATCAATTTTAAAAGACAGATTTTATTTTTAAAATGCTACAAAAATTACTTTTTTTCAGTCTTCCATCTATGTATTTTCTTGTTAATTTTTAATGTAATTTCTTTCATCCCTAATGGAGCCTAGAAGTCATAGACTCTTGATTTCTACCTTGCCTTCTTCATTACAACAACACACTGGCTCTCTTTACAGGGAACATCTATCAGTAACAAGTCCATTCAGTTTTATATTTTAGGGTAAAGAATGTTAAGATTTTTCCAAGGACATTGACAGATCATAGTCCAGTGTGGATGGAACTGGTTAATGAAAAAGAGGAGAGGCGATCTTGGAGGATGAATGAAAACTTATTTAGACAAGAAATGAATGTTCAGAAACTTAAAGAGCAATTAAAGGAATATTTTGTTTTAAATATGCATAAGGGAACTTCAATGTCAATGGTTTGGGATGCAGGTAAAGCTTACATGCGTGGGGTCTTGATACAAATGAATAAGGCTTATAGACAGAAGCAAGTGCAGAAACATAAGGAGTTGGAAGATGAGATTAAATTAAAAGAAAAAGCTTTAATTTTGAATCCTATAGATGAGAAGATTAAGGAATTTATAAAACTGCTTAAATCGCAATTTAATATGTTAATGGCTGATCAAACTGCAACTAATTTATTGTACATGAAACATAACACATTTTGTAATGCTAATAAGCCAGGGAGATGGCTGGCCTACCAATTGCGAAAGAAACAGAAGTTGAGAATTATAGATAAAATAAATTATAATGGTAAATTGGTATATCAGAAGGAGTTGATTAAGAAATCTTTTTTAGATTATTATAAAAAATTATATATGGGTAGGAAAGTACAGGCTTTAGATATAGATAAATACTTACAAGATGCTCATTTCCCTAAACTAACAGAAGATCAGAAACAAGAAATTAATGGTTTGATTACCATAGAGGAAATTGAGACAGTAATTAAAGAATTAAAATTAGGTAAAGCACCGGGTACCAATGGATTGACATCTATTTATTATAAGACCTTGATAGATGAGTTGATAGAACCTTTAAGGGAACTTTTTAATAATATATTACAGGGCTCAGAGACCCCCTTGTCTTGGGGTAGAGCTTTTATATCTTTGATCCCAAAAGAAGACCAAGATCTTACTCTACCAAAGAATTATAGACCTATATCTCTTTTGAATGTAGATTATAAGATTTTTTCGAAAATTTTAGCTAATAGACTTATGAGTGTGTTGAATCAATTAATACATATGGACCAAACAGGTTTTATAACTGGAAGGTATATGAAAAATAATGTTAGACAAATTATTAATGTAATAGAATATTTGGATAAAAACAACCAAATCTCTGCAGGATTGATATTCTTAGATGCTGAAAAAGCTTTTGATGAGTTAAATTGGCAATTTATGTTAAGATTAATCGAGGAAATGAACTTTGGCGAAAAAATTTTACAGGCTCTTCGTGCCATCTATCAAAAACAAATGGCACAACTTATAGTTAATGGAGGTTTATCAGAGGTATTTTCAATTGAAAAGGGGACTAGACACGGTTGTCCATTGTCACCATTGCTGTTTGTTTTAACCTTGGAAATTTTGCTGATCAAAATTCGGGAATCACAGAAAATAAAAGGAATAGAAGTTAATAAAAAAGAATATAAATTAGGGGCTTTTGCAGATGATCTGGTTGTCACTTTATCCCAATCAACTCACTCTGTAATGGAGTTGTTACAATTGATATATCAGTATGGACAAGTTTCAGATTTTAAAATTAATAATAATAAGACTAAAATATTACCTAAAAACATGACCAACTTGGATAAGGAGACCCTGGTTAGGTTGACAGATTTCGAGGTTATTAACAAGGTAAAATATCTGGGGGTTATTTTATCTGCTTCCAATGCAAAACTGTATAAAAACAACTATGAAAGGCTGTGGGTTAAAATACAAAAGGATTTGGATAATTGGAAAAAGCTGCAATTGTCCCTATTGGGGAGAATTGCAGCGATTAAAATGAATGTCTTGCCAAAGTTTCTTTTTTTATTTCAAATGATACCTATTTTAAAGAAAGAAGCAAACTTAGATGAATGGCAGAAAGGTATCAATAAATTTATCTGGGCAGGGAAAAAACCAAGAGTAAAACTTAAAATTATACAAGATATTCGAGAGAGAGGTGGACTCAAGGTACCGAATCTGAAATTGTATTATGATGCTGTGGTGTTAACATTAATTAGTGATTGGGTTAATTTAACAAATGTAGATATACTCCTCCTGGAGGGATGGGATTTACTTTTTGGATGGCATGCCTATTTAATTTTTAATAAGAAGGTTGATAGGGTTTTTAAGTCTCATATTTTAAGAACTTCCTTACTTCGGGTTTGGAAGAAATATTACAGAAGTGATTCAAGAATTCCATTATGGGCTATCCCATGGCATGTGATAGAAGGGATAAGGAGAGGAGTTAAGATGGATAGTATTTCTTACACACAACTACTTAGATGGGATGGTAAAAATTGGCAATTAAAATCTATGGATGAGTTAGCACAAGAAAATATTATTTATTCATGGTTTCAGTATAGACAACTATTGGAAAGGTGGAAGATAGATTATAATGTGGGTATGCTTAGAGAGGATGAGAATTTGTTAAAACAAATTAGAGATCAAAGTCGAACCCATATTAAAAGAATTTATGGGGTGTTAGTGGATTTGGACTCAGAAGTAGAATTAGTTAAAGACTGTATGGTCAAATGGGCATAAAATTTTGATGAACCGATTTCATTAGACACCTGGGAGATTATTTGGGTGAGGAATGTTAAATTTACACACACACAAAATTTACGGGAAAATTTTTATAAAATGTTTTATAGATGGCACCTTGATCCACAAAAAATGTCTCGCATGTATTCAAACTTGCAGCCTAAATGTTGGAGATGTGGTTGCTTGGATGCTACTTATTATCATATTTAGTAGTCATGTAAAAATATAAAAGCTTTTTGGATTAAGATATGGTGGAATATTCAAAGAATTTTTAAAAGAAGGATAAAATTTACTCCACAACTGTTTTTGTTGGGTATTGTTTCGGATTGTGATAATAAAGAGACTATTTTAATGTTAAATTTAATTACAGCGGCTAGGTTGTTAATAGGTCAATGTTGGAAGAAGGAATCTTTGCCTACCTTGCAAGAATGGTTTTTTAAAGTTTCTTACCTAGTGGAAATGGCAAAGATTTCGACTTTCTTGAAAGAGCAATCGCAAGAGATGTACCTCTTGGTGTGGAAAAGATGGATAAATTTTATACAATATAAGTATGATATAAGAAAATACTATTTAGCTTTTGAATGATTTATATTTAAAGTTTAAGATATTATTTAGAAGTGTAATTATTATTATTTTTTAAATTTTTTATCTTTTTTATCTTTTTCTTTTTTTTGTTTTTTTTCTTTTCCTCTTTCTGTTCTCTATATATAATGGAGTTAAAGTATTTTACAATTTGTTTAATGACTGTAATTATATTTGTTTAAGGTTTATTTGTGTTTAAAACTTTTTTTTTTCTTTTAAGCTCTAATTAAGCCTGTATTCAGCTCTGGGAAGATTGGGGGAGGGTATTGGGGTGGGTTGGGAGGGTTTGGGGAAGGGAACCTTATTGTAAAATTAAAAAAAAAAATTAATAAAAAAAATATTTATTTAATTTGACACATCTTACATGAATATCTTAAGTCATTTACTTCCTTATCCTGCAGTTGGACACCCATTTACATAACTATGAGCTTCAGTGAATTCAGGGACTTATGTCAACTATATATGTGTGAAATCTAGGAGGATTATTGTGTATGCTTGTGAGTGTGAGAGATGGGTGGAGGCAGAGAGATAAAGAAACAGAGGCAGTAAAAGACACAGGCAGAGGCAGAATGGCTTGTCTTCAGAATTTGTCAGTGCTTCATCTCTAGAAGTCTTTAAGAAGAGACTGAGCAGCCACCTGTCTGAGATGGTATAAGGTCTACTGCTTGAGTAAGGGGTTGTACTCCAGCTCTATTGTAACTTCTTTCCTCTTTCCTGCTCCCCGCATGTAGCTATAAATATTTTCTGTTGAATTATAGTTGCTTAAATAAACATTTAATTCCTCAGTTATTTTAAGGAAAGTGAAAATACTAAAAGACAAGTATTGCTCCCTTAAACACATATGTACAAATTTTATATTTAGTTTGCAATATTATTAATTTATGTGGAGGGAAGTGTTGAGAAAGAGACAAAAAGAGAAATATATTTACATTTTAAAGTATATATTTAATACAGTTTTCATTAACATAAAAAATATTTTTACAAACCAACTGTAGCACATCAACATTTTTGATCACTTCTATTCTATGTTCTCTTTCTATTAAATGCCACTTTTGTCAATATAATCCACTCTGACAGAGAGGGATTGATAAACAAACTATATATAAAATGTAAAAAGGCAATAAAAATAATAATAATTGTATATATGTTTTTTTAAAAAATGTGATAGTTGTTTTTGCATAGTAAGAATGAATGCATTCATTCAATAGGTTGCATATATCATTATTATTAATTCTGTACTCCTGTTCATTTCTTCTACTAATTTCCTATGATACTCTCTTTCTGTCCAGAAGGAGTCAGAGGAAACAAATGGCCAACCAATCCACTGTGACAGAATTCCTTCTGATGGGATTTTCTGATGATCATGATATGCAAATTCTGTATTTTGCAATATTCCTTGTCATTTACTTATTAACCTTAATTGGAAATTTCCTTCTTGGTGTTGCTGTGATCCTAAACAATAACCTTCATGCTCCCATATATTTCTTTTTGATGAATTTGTCATTCTGTGATGTTTGTTTCATTTCAACTATGATCCCTAAAGCCATGGCTACTTCTTTGACAAATAACAGGGAGATCTCCTATGTTGGATGTGCTGCTCAGGTCTTCTCAGTTATTACTCTTGCAGGTACTGAGCTTGCCTTGCTGACTGTCATGGCTTATGACCGCTATGTGGCCATTTGTCACCCTCTGCAATATACACTAATAATGAATCGGGATGCCTGTTTACAAATGGCAGCTGCTTCCTGGATAAGTACCTTGATTGATGCTTTGCTGCACACCACTCTCACTTTCAGATTAAATTTCTGCAAATCCAATATAATTGAGCAATTTTTTTGTGATGTTCCTCATCTACTAATTATTTCTTGTACTGATACAAGAATTAATCAGATTCTAATTTTCGTTCAAGCACTTACTATAGACACATTTTGTACTGGGCTTGTTTTTATTTCCTATGGCTACATCTTCTGTGTTGTTCTAAAAGTCCCTTCAGTTCAAGGCAGATATAAAGCTTTCTCCACATGTATTCCCCATATGATTGTCTTTTCTTTATTTTTTATCTCTGTTCTGTTTGCATATATGAGGCCCCAAAGTGTTTCCTCCCACACTTTGGACTTGCTCTCAGCTGTTCTCTATACATGTTTGCCCCCACTCCTCAATCCCCTCGTTTATAGCTTCAGGAACAAGGACATCCAAAAAGCTATGTGGAAAATGCTTAAGAAGTAAAAAGAGAAAAAAACAGATGTGGATAATTGCATTCATTGTTCAAAATCTCTCTTTAGCCAAATATTATACTCTGCTACTTATCTTGGTTATGTAAATAACAGCTTAAACAACATGGGTTTACATCATGTGATAGATTCTTGGTACTGGGGAGAATTAAAAACTATCCCAATCTAACTTTAACTTAGATGCTTATTCTTTCCAATGACAACTCGTTATTCTTCTTCCCGTAGATTGTATCTATTTTTTCAGAACTCAGTTATGTGGTTATTTTAAAAAAACTAAAAACTAAGAAAAAAACTAAAACAAGTTGTTATTCTTTTCTTTTCTAGGAGCTAAAAGTCCTACCCAAAGTAAATTTGAAACATTTACATAACTATAAAAATCCTAGCTGAATTCATTCAGCAATCTTTGAAAGCTTTCAATCATGGCCATGATAACAATGACTTTGCTCCACTGATGCTGTTTTGCTCATATTTGTCCTTTGGAGAAAGTTGTAACAGAATAAATCAACTTTAAAAGACAGATTTTCTTTTTAAAATGCTACAAAATTACTTTTTTAAAAAATCTTTTCTTTATGTATTTTCTTGATAATTTTTAATGTAATTTCTTTCACTTCTAATGGAGACCTAGCAGTCACAGACTTTTGATTTCTAGCCCACCATCTTCACTACAAGAACACACTGGCTCTCTTTACAGGGAAAATCGATCATTAACAAGTCCATTCAATCTTAAAGGATGATTTGCTTTCCACTTGTAGCTTTGATCTTGTCATTCATATATATGTCCAATATAATAACATGTCCAATATAAGAAAAGATTTATTTCATTCCGATACAGTGCTCTATAATACAATGTGTATGAGGCATTCCTATTAAACAAAAGTTTAACTCTTTGGTCAGGACTGGGATCCTCTTCCTTAGGTATATTGATCCTAGATAATATTTTAACCAATTTTAATCAGAATAGAACTGGAAGAGACCTTGAAAAAATGCATAACAATTTATCATTACCAAGTATTATATAACTTTCATATATTTCTCAGTATATGAAGACAATAAGATGCAATTGTCAAAATTTTCATTATGTAATTGTGGGAATTAGGGAAAAAGTGCATCAATCTATATTTTATGTCATTCTATTGAAAACCCATGAAATGCTGATGCTTTTTTATTAATTGTAATCAAAATTCCTTTTTTGTCTCTTCTGTATCCAAAGGAGCATCATTAAACATTAAATGAAATGAAACATCTGAATTTCTAAATTTTGTCTTAGAATGCAAAGATATTTTGAGTTGTGAACAGCCGACAAATGAAAATAAACATATGACAAGGAGAATGAGAATGAGAAGATGACAAGGATAAGAGCAATACTGCCTACTACATGGCTAAATATCTTTAGACATAAGACAGTGCTGTGGGTTATAGGTATTTAGCAGAGTGATGGCATAAAAGCTCTTTCTGTGTGTAGTTGTTTTGGCAAACAATGTCCTGTAGAGGCATCCTGAGGGGTGAAGTTGAAACAGTTTGTGTCCAGGATGTGAAGGGTCTGTAAATATTTTCTCAGCCATCTTTCTGGTTCTTGCAATGTACAGGTTCTCAATGGAAGGCAGACTGGTTGCAATTATTTTTTCTGCAGTCTTAATTATCCATTATGAATATGAATGCATATGCCTAACTACTTACTAAGTTTTTAATTGCTATTATCAATTAAAATTTCCATTGGAAGATAGATCAGGAATCCACATTGGTGAATGAATTGGTACAGTTATCTTTTACAGATTGAAAAGGTAACATGTGCAAAATTGGTCATTTCAAAAAGCTCACCTACCCATTTCAGTAGTTTTAGGAAAACTGTGAAGAGAGACCGCAAAGGGAAGAAAATATTACATGTTACTTTGCCTTTAGTAATAAACATTATGAGGTACTGTATACTTTGTAGAGCCAGTGTGAAGCATTCCACAAGGATGTGTTTCAAAGCATGCAAAACAACTGTAGTCCATCCATTATCTGCTTTTTATTTTTTCTATATATATTTAGGAACATAAACAGTAAATATGGACTATAATATTAACTAGTCTTATATATTCTAAAGACAAAACATGTAAATTTATTTATTTATTTGTTTGTTTGTTCATTTATTAAATTTGTGTGCTGCCCATTTCTCCAAAAGTGACCCTTCAGTGAACAAAAAGTGAACAATTAAACTTACAAAATATCTAGTTGAAGACAATTTAAATTCAGCTTCATTCATTGATATTAATATATATCCAAAGTTGTAAGAGATGGGGAATAAAAATATTTGCAATATGACTAACAATAACAATAACAATGTTGATGTTGATGACAATGACAATGGTGATGATGATGATGATGATGCATTATCTCTGATTTAAGCAGACTGGCAGTTGTTTCTGAACACTAAACCTGTGTCTTGGATCATATGTTCTTTCTCAAAATCTCTGATAAGTTAGATAGAGAGAGAGAGATAATGACAAATATGCTAATTTATCTCATGAATCTGTTCCTCAGAGAGCCACAAAATTCATTAGAGAATTTCTAATGAGATGTAGAGATGGGACTGAGATTTTGGGATGGGATTCAGAAGTGGTTGCTAATCTAAGGACATCTAAAATAGTCTTCTGAGGAACATTCTGGATCTGCTTTTAATATGTATCAGATTTCATTGAAACTTATTAAAACAGTATGATACATGAATATAATAATATAAGACAGATAGGTAGTAGATGATAATCAGTCCTTTTTATGTTTTGCAATGTAGAGCTTCAAATTCAGCATGAAAATTATGATCTTTCTCCAGGGAGTGATTTCTTGAAGCACAGTGAAAATTAAGGGTGATGTAACTGTTCTTTCTTTAAATTCTTCTTAGCAGAAACTTAGAATCTATAAAATGGTAGAAAAGCATATGTGGATTTCTATTGTCACCTTTCAAGAACATTTCAAAATAGAACACAAATAGTGGTAAGTAGAACTTAAGTAAAGACCACAATTCTTATGTGCTCAGGATTTCAGCAATGAAATAACTGTGCAATACTATTCAGGAAGATCTCCTTTTGGACGGATGAGTATTATCTAGAGTAATATAATACTGTTGCTTTATACAGACCTAGTAATCAACTTTATGACCTGAGATATTGTCCGAGTAACGAAGTTCTTCTTAACACTGTATATGATCTGAACTGTATATTGCTATTCATTATGTCTGATGCTAAAAGGAGTACACTGGATTAAATATGGATTATTTAAGAAAAATAAGAGGAAAAAGAAAAAAAATGTACCATATACATCATCGCTCATAACTAGAAAAGAAAACTAATATTCAAAAAGTACTTTCATTTTTCTTTGTTTTACTATTTTTTTTTACAAAATTGACTGAGTAAACCCACAATAATGATTTGATTGAAGTATCAAATATTTATTTAATTTGACACAAATCTACTAGGTCATAACTTATTTATTCAGAATAACTTATTTATTATGAAATTAGTTGATAATTACATAAGTATGGGCTTCATTGAATTGAGGGAACACACATCATACAGAAATATTCATAAAACCCAGGAGAACCATTCCATTAAAGTTTCTGGTGAGTTTGCACAGATTAAAAATCTTATATCCTCTTTAATTTGAGAAAAAAAATATTTCAGTAAAAAATGTACCCTAATTTAATCTCTCTCCTCCACCTAAATGTAGCTGCATTTTTTTTCCTATTGAAACAGGGCTGTTGTTAGAGGGAAAAAAAATGAAGGAGGGTTGGGGTTATGGTTTACTGTCTTGATTTTTTTATAAAGTAATAAATGTGGGATAAAAATTAAATAAACAAATAAATTATATTATATCAAAAAATGAAGTCAATCTGTCTCCTCCACAGAAATGGAGCTAGAAATCTTGCCTGTTAAAGTTGAATTTTGCTTAATTAAAACATTTAATTCTTTACTTTTATGAAGAAAGCTGTATATACTAAGAGAAAATTATTAAACCCTAAAGCATACATATGTATTTATTTTCTATCCTGTTTGCAGTTTTTTAATTACCATAAGAATTAATATTATTCATTCAGATGAAGGAAATAAAGACAGAAAGAAAGTATATATTATGTATATTTTAATGCATATATTTTGCTCAAAAAAAATCCTTCTTTGAAATAAACTATAACAGCAAGGTTTTCTAAATTTTTGATTTCTTTTGTTTCCAACATTATTATGGTTTCTTTCTATAAAATGCCATTTTTGACAATGTAATCCCTTATGATAGAAGGATTTAGTATACATATGTATATGATTGTAAACAATGTCATATATAACATAGAAAGGATTAAAATGTGGTATATATGAAAGTATAAGGTGCCCTGTTACATTTTAAGAATGGGTAGCCCTGGCATTTAAATATTTATCAAACATTGGGACAATTATAATTTAATACTATATATACTTGTATATATATATATATATACTTGTACTCTCTTTCTTTCCAGAAGTAGTCAGAGAAAAGAAATGGCCAACCAATCCACTTTGACGGAATTCCTTCTGATGGGATTTTCTGATGCTCACAATATGCAAATTCTGTATTTTGCAATGTTCCTTGTCATTTATTTATTAGCCTTAATTGGAAATTTCCTTCTTGGTATTGCTGTGATCCTAAACCAGCACCTTCATGCTCCCATGTATTTCTTTTTGGCAAATTTGTCATTCTGTGATGTTTGCTTGATCTCAACTATGATTCCTAAAGCTATGGATATTTGTTTGAGAAACAACAGGAGGATCTCTTATATTGGATGTGTTGCTCAGGTATTTTCAGTTTTCACTTTTCTAGGTTCTGAGCTTTCCTTGCTGACTGTCATGGCTTATGACCGTTATGTGGCCATCTGCCATCCTCTGCAATATACACTAATGATGAACTGGGATGCCTGTTTACAAATGGCAGCTGCTTCCTGGATAAGCAATCTGATCCATGCTTTGCTGCACACCATACTCACTTTCAGGTTAAATTTCTGCAAATCCAATAGAATTGAGCAATTTTTCTGTGATGTTCCTCCTCTTCAAAAGATTTCCTGTACTGACACAAGAATTAATCAAATTCTAATTTTGGTTATATCAGTCATTGTAGATTCATTTTGTAGTGGACTTATCTTTATTTCCTATGGCAACATTTTCTTAGTTGTGCTAAAAGTCCCTTCAGTTCAAGGCAGATATAAAGCTTTCTCCACATGTATTCCCCACCTGACTGTCTTTTCTTTATTTTTGATCTCTGCTCTCTTTGCATATATGAGGCCCCAAAGTCTATCCTCCCACACTTGGTATTTGCTCTCTGCTGTTATCTACACAGTTTTCCCCCCATTCCTCAATCCCCTCATTTATAGTTTCAGGAACAAGGACATCCAAAAGGCTGTGTGGAGAATTCTAAAAGCCTAAGAGTAAAAGTTTTATTTAAATAGGTCTTTTGTCTTTATTTATAAGTATTATTTGAATAGGATAGAACTGTGCAATACAAAATTTTCACATTAGAGCAATCATAGGTCTTCCAAATGCCTAGATGCTAATACTATCAAAATGAAAGAAGAATCAGTTAGATATATTATATAGAATTGTCTTAATTCTAAAAGACTTGTTTAATGTACTTTTAGGAAGAGGCATTGGGGTTAAATGTGTTGGATTCATACTGGATGCAGTAATGAAAATGTAGAGTTTATCAAGAAATTAAGACTTTTGGATGTCTTGTAACTATCAAAGATTTGGCTTTCTCTACAATTTTAGAGAGATATTGAGTAGAATTATTTATCTTACTTTATCAAAATTTACATGTTGGGTGAATAGCCATGCATTATCTTGTTCTGAATAATATGATTCATTACTTATGATTGACAGTTGAATTTATATTTAATTTTAATTTCATATAAGTACCAAATAGGTATTAATAATGATACATAGTAAAATACCTCTATACATTTATTTCTGTTGCTAAGTTTTATCATCTACATTATTAAGCAATTTTTTTGACATTTATCCTTCAGTTGCTTAATAATCCTAATTATTCACATATTTTTTCACAACTTAGAATTGTAAAACTGATATCAAATAATACATTTTAAAATATTTTAATGACATTTCAAGAAGCAGATTATTTTAAATGTTCTTCACAGATTTTACTCTGTACTTCCATCAAGGTATTGTGAATGCTGTGGCAAACTGAACTGAAGCCATTTTCACTTTGTCTTCATTGCCACATAGTTAGATCAGAAGAAGAAAGGGGGGGTGTAATTTTCAAGGTCATTGCTGATAACATTTTGGCAGGCTGGAGGGCTGGGAGAAGAGCCTGCATTTTCTAACAATTAGCGAATGTGATTTATGACATCTAATTTGGATGGGAATTGCAACTTGCAACTTTGTAACCAACAGGAGGAGAATTTAATCTTGGTTTACCTTTGTATGTGTCATTATTTTGTAGCCAAATAAAAATGTTCTTAATTCCTTGCCTTAAAGTTATTTTGATTGATCTCAATTATCGGAATCATGACATTAACCCAAGACTCAAAACTCTTTTAATCCCATGGGATCCTGAGCTCTGGTTGCCTACTGAAAGCCTTGGGAGGATGACAAAGGAAGGGAAGATTCTATGATGTAGAAAAATGAAGAGCCTGTTACTAGCCTCAAAGTTACAACAACCAAATCAGTGAATGGGGTACAGTGAATGGGGTACAGAACATTGCTCCAATAGAGAGTGTGACTTTGTTGATCTCAGCAACAGGTGCGAGACAAAAGGAACCAGGCTAGTCCAGACCATTATCATTATAGACTTAGTCCTGATTGGCACCTCCAGTGACTCAGCCCTGAACATCATCAGTGCCACACCAGTCCTAGGCCCCTACCAAGAGTTCACCCAGCAGCAGGGTTCCCAAGAGATCAGCTGCACCAGTATGGATTGATTCAGGCTGTCCTAGATCAGCAGTGGAATCTCTCCATTTCAAGCCTACATTTGATGGTGACCTTGAGAAGTTAACTTTCTTCTTGAACCAAGTGTGCTCCCACATAAACAGAAGTGCCAATGCTTATCTGGACCCTGCCCATATGATCAATGTGGTAGCGGAATCTTGGAGGGAGAAGCAGCAGAATGGCTAACCACTTATACAATGAGCAAGTACCTGAGTTATGGGACTAACTAACAGTCCCATAACTCAGGTACTAACTAACAGTTATGGACTGTTCATCCAAGGCCTGAGAACCAGATTTGAGGATGGTTCTCTTGCCCTGCAAGCTGAAAAACACCTCCATGAAGTCAAACAGATGGGTCAGCCAGCAAAGGAATATGTGAGCCAAGAAAGTGGCTGACAGAATCATGCAGTGACTTAAGTGATCACTAGTTCATCATTTCAAGTCCAGGCTGGATCCAGATCTATTCCAGGCATGTGTCTACAGGGGGATCCCTGATCAACTCTACAAGTGGTATTGCTTGGCCATGAATTTAGATACTGAAATGAACTACTACAAGAAACTACCACTCCTGAACCTAGACCAAGATCAGATCCAGTGAGACATCAGCTTCCCTGTTGAACCCCTCTGACTTGGACATCAACTGGGGCACCAATAAAATATTTTAGGTGTGACCAGCCAGGTCATGAAGCAGCTGTTTGTCCAGTTCCTTTTCCTCAGCAAAAAAGTGGCTCAACCATGCCAGCAAAACAAAAAGGAAGCTCACAGCCCACTAGATAAAAATCAAGTTGGATCAACCAGGAGCAAGCTACTCAAGTCACCTCCCCTACTCAAGAGAAGACAGAGGCCTAACTGATGCTGCCCTTTCACCAGTTCTGTATGACAGCAACGATGAGGGAGAAAGCGACCTGATGGTGAGTCAGCCTGTTCCACCTTTTTCCCTCTCTGCTAAGCTCTTGGTCCCTAAGATAGGAACCCAGATGGACTTACATGTATTGAATGACTTTGGGTATTCATGATGCCTGATCAACCTCCATACTGTTCTTAAATTAGGCATCAAAGCAAAAAAAGCTTTCCTTTCCCATGAGATGCAAACAGGCAGAAAGGTCTTTAGTGGGCGGAGCTTTAGTTACCCACCTAATGGAGTTGGTGCAACTAGAGGTGGTGGAACATCGGGAGTTTAACCAGTTTGTTGTGGCCCCAAAAATGACTGAAGCAGTGATTTTGGGATTAGCTTGGTTGGACAAGTGGAAATCTCTAATATGGTGGGAGAAGGGGATGAGAACTTTAAGATTACCCATAGGGCTGTCACCCCCAACCCCTCAAATGACACAAGTGGGATCTCAACATGACCATCTGAAACTCTAAAAATGGCAGCAGATCCATTGCCATGGGAACCTCTCATTCCTAGAGAATATGGAGATTTGGCTGAAGTGTTCAGTGAGACAGAATGTGACATCCTATCCCCCCATAGAACTACTGACTGTGCAATTGAGATTATGCCAAGAGCTAAATTGCCAAAACCAAAGATGTATGCAATGACCCCTTCAAGATGAAGGAATTGAGGGAGTGTATTGATAAAAATTTGGTGAGTGGTTTCATTGAATCCTACCTCCATACTTTTTAAGGAGAAAAAAGATGGATCGCTTAGGCTTTGTGTTGATTTTAAATATCTTAATGATGCCAGCATGGAGAATATGTATCCTTTCCCCTTAATGAAAGACATGCTAGCCCATCTGGTGAAGGGGAGTGTTTTTACCAAGTTAGACCTAAGAGAGGTGTATTATCATATGAGGATAAAAAAGGTGATGAATGGAAAACTGCTTCAACAGCCCTCTGGGTAGATTTTAGTTTAAGGGCTGCAAGGAACTCCTGCTGTGTTCATGCAGCTGATCAACCAAGGAGTTTTGGTTTATCTTGATGAAATCTTAATCTATACAGAGACTGTGGAAGAATATACAATATTATTACGAGAAGTACTCAAAAAACTACTGAACACCAAACTTTATGCAAAACTCTCAAAATGTGAATTCCATCAGGAACATTTGGAGTATCTGGGTTACAGAATTTCCAGCACAGGAGTTGAGATGGACCCAGCTAAAGTAAAAGCTGTGGTTGGATGGCAACTCCCCCCTCCCCAAACTCAAAAACAGCTCCAAAGCTTTTTAGGATTTGCTAATTTCTATTGACAATTTATCCCCTCATTTCCTGAGATTGCTTTGCCCCTCACAGAAATGTTAAAAATTGGTAAAAATGGGGGTAAGCCATGACTGGGTGAACCCCTACACTAGCTGTTAGAGTGCCAAGCTGCTTTTGAGAATTTAAAAAGACTGTTCATTGCAGAATCAATTTTCAAACATCCTCATCCTGAGGAGCAATTTATTATTCAAGCTGATGCCAGTAATGTGGCAGTGGGTGCAGTTCTATTACAGAAAAACCATAAAGGAGAATTATGCGCTTACACTTTGAAAAAACTCACTAACACAGAATGAAGATGGGCTGTTTGGGAGAAGGAGGCTTTTGCAATTAGATGGGCTTTATTGACTTGGTGTCATTTCCTAGAGGGGAGCAAGGTACCTTTTCAGGTATGGACTGATCACAAAAACTTAGAAGTACTGAAAAGTCCCCTCAAACTATCCCCTAAACAAGTATTCTGCACACAATATTTTAATCATTTTAACTTTACCCTGAAATATAAACCAGGGGAAAAACGTTTCTTAGCTGATGCTCTCTCTAGATTGCCTCAATATAAAAGCCAGTGTGAACAAATCATAACCCCTATCATGCCACTATCACAAGTGATTTCTCAGATAAACCCTGGATGATGACAGAACATGAGGGTGCCTAACCCAGACAACTGATTGACAAAGTAATTAAATCAAAAACTAAAAAATATGACCGATAGTTCAAGGAAAATCAAGCCAGCCTGACTCACAGGGATGGATTAGCTTGGAAAGGGAAAATTATATCTGCCCAAATCACTCCAACTCCAAGCACTCCAACGCAGCCACATTAAACACATTAAACATTAAACAAGCTGGTCACTTTGGATATATAAAAAACATTACACTTAATCTGGAGGCAATTTTGGTGGCCAGGGTTAAATAAGATATGGAGAACTATGTAAAAAGTTGTGCAGTTTGTGCTACCATGAAGAGAATCCCAGGAAAGCCTCCTGGGTTGTTGCAGCCTGTCGCAGGTCCTTCTCAGCCATGGGAACACATTGTTATGAACTTTATTGTTGAATTACCAAAGAGTAGAGGAAATATGGTGATATGGACAGTGATTGACCTTTTTTTAAAGCAAACTCATTTAATAACATGCTGTAGTCTTCCATCTGCCCAGAAACTAGCCAAATTGTTCCTTAAATATATTTACTGGCTGCATGGTGCACCAAAATGAATAATTTCAGATAGGGAGGTTCAATCAACAATTTGGATGAGGGGATAGACGGGGAACTCATCAAATTTGCAGATGACACCAAGCTGGCAGGAATAGCCAACACTCCAGAAGTTAGGCTTAAGATACAGGAGGATCTCAACAAGCTGGAAAACTGGGGGCTATCTAACAAAATGAAATTCAACACTGAGGCAAGAAAAACCAAATGTACGCTTATAGTATAGGGCACAGGTCGGCAACCTGCGGCTCCGGAGCCGCATGCGGCTCTTTGAGCTTTCCCCTGTGGCTCCCAGCCTCCTCTGCCTTTGCAGAGAGAGACAGAGACAGAGAGAGGCAATTGCACTTCCCTGCCTCTCTCTCTCTCTCTCTCTCTCTCTCTCTCTCTCTCTCTCTGTGTGTGTGTTTGTGTTTGTGTGTGTGTGTGTGTGTGTGTAAAAGAGAGTGCACTCACTGTTCTCTGAGGAGCTGAAAAGCTTACTGGGCGGAGCTCCTCCCTTTGCTGCGTCTCTGCAGGAAGCAGGAAGGGCAGGAGAGAGCTAGCTAGCCCAGCTAGGCTGACTCAGGAATTCTGGGAGTTGAAGTCCATGAGTCATAAAAGAGACGAGGTTGCCCACCCCTAGCTTGTTGGACAACAGTTTGAAGCTTGCCAGGTGAGCAGCAGATAGGAGGGGGGGGGAGAAAGAGAGAGAGAGGGAGGGAGAGAGAGAGAGAGGAAAGAGAGAGAAAAAGAAAGAGAGTGGGGGAAGAGGAGTGGCAGACCAAGGGCAGATAGGGAGGGAGGGAGAGAGACAGAGAGAGAGAGACCCTTTTGACATCTAAAATGAAGATAACACTGCATATATCCTTTTTTTACCTGTGTGTGTATGTCATTTTATTCTCTTAAAGCATTCTCTTGGTGATCATTGTTTTAATAGTATGGATATTCCCAAGAGTCATATTTTTACTTTTATTTTTAATGTGTGTGTGTGTGTGTGTGTGTGTGTGTGTGTATACATACATACCTACACACACACACACACACACACACACACACACACCTATAATAAAGGTAAAAAAGGATATATACAGTGTTATCTTCATTTTAGATATCAAAAGGGTTTTGCGGCTCCTGGTGTTTTGTTTTTGGTGGGAAACAGGTCCAAGTGCT